CCTCCTTAAAAGTATTCAAGTTAATTCATCTATTTCTTGCAGGTTTGTACAAAAAATTAAAATCAATTATCGTGTAAAAATCGTGTTGCCATGACTATCAGTGACGTGAGCAACGCGAGCCTGCGTTCAGTGTTGGCGTAATTACGAATACTTCATGTTGAAACAATGTTTGGAGAATATAGGCGAGGGGTTGTTGCATGCATGTATTTCTAGTATGTTATCTCAAGAGACCACGGGAAGGGCCTTCGCTCGAAACGTTGAAATATTCAGCATTGCCATTGTATCATTGATAATATATTGTATCAGTATAATACATTGCTGATTCGTTCTTAAGATACCACGCAGTATATCAATATAACATGTTGTCCTTTTGTCCTTAGGAAACCACGCAATATAACTATCAATACAATATGATGCTGCTTCATTTTTAAAAAGCCACGTAATATATAGATTTAATATGTTGTTGCTTCGTTCTCAAGAGACCATGCAATAGATAGATAGATAGATAGATAGAAACTTTTATTTAAACACGCTAACCGTTGTCAACCATATATATATATATATATATATATATATATATATATATATATATATATATATATATATATATATATATATATATATATATATATATATATATAATAATAATTCAGTTTCTTTGAACGTATATGTAGTGAAGAGTGCTCAATATTACAAAATAGTGCGATTTATTAATGCTTAAAATGTTTTTGTTGCTACTCCAAGTTTCATGCCGTAAAGGCAATCATCAGGCAACAGTTTTAAACTGTTAAACTCATAAACTGAAACTGAAAAAAAACTCATAAACTGTTGCCTGATGATTGCCTTTACGGCATGAAACTCGGAGTAGCAACAAAAAACATTTTAAGTATTAATATATATATATATATATATATATATATATATATATATATATATATATATATATATATATATATATATATATATATATATATATATATACAAGAATAATAATGCTATTAAAAAATGTGAGTATTCAAAAATGTGAGTAGCGATATTAGTTTCAAAGGACATGATGGAGTTGCTCTCTAATTTCGGTTGGTAAAGAATTCCAAATGTGTGCCCCGTCAAACATGAAACTTTTTTTCAAGCTATTTGTACGCGGCTGTGGTAAGCAAAGAGTACTTTCAAAATCTCGAAGTTTATAATTTGTCATTAAACCAGTAAGTGATTTAGGACCCGTTTTATTCAACAATTTAAACATCAGTTTGGACTTAGCCTTTATTCTCTCCGTTTAAAGTGGTTTCCAGTCTAAAGCATATAAAGCAACCAGATGATCTACATCATTGCTCATATTCATTATGATTCGAGCAGCTCTATTTTGGAGCTTTTGGAGGCGTTTTGATTGTGTTTCACCAAACACATCCCATACTTCACAGCAATATGTAAAGTATGGGCGAACAATAGAATTATACACAGAGACAAGTGTATCTTTCTCAACAAATTCTTTTATTTGACGAAGAGCTGATATCCCGGATGTTATTTTCTTGCAAATTGTTTCAGTATTATTCTTCCAAGACAAATGCTGCAGGTCAACAGTCACTCCAAGAGTTTTGCAATCATATATACTTGTTTAATTGGTTTGTTTTCTATGATAATGTTTGGTTGTCTATTTGAGATACTTTTTATCATTGGTTTAGATCCAATTAATATAAATTCTGTTTTGGCCACATTTAAACTTAGTTTATTGGCAATTAACCATTTCCTAAGGTTTTCTAAATCAGAATTCATTGCAGCTTCAACATCATTTATAGATTCTCCCGCAGCTGTTAGGTTTGTATCATCAGCAAACAGTCGAGGTTTTGTTTTGCTTAGACACTGAGGCAAGTCATTAATATAAAATAAAAAGAATAATGGCCCTAAAATAGAGCCTTGTGGCACGCCACACTTAATCAACCGCTCCGATGAAATAGTTCCATTAACTTGGCATTTCTGAGTGCGATTTATCAAGTACGATTTTAGTAGAGCCAAAGCATCTCCTTTTACGCCATAAATTTCGAGTTCTTTTAGTAAAATCTGGTGGTCGACATTATCAAATGCCTTTTTAAAGTCAATTAGTACAACCAAGTTAAATAATTTTTTGTGAATATTCATATACCAACTATAAGTACAGTCTAGTAACGCTGTAGCAGCTGAGTGTGATTTGCGAAAGCCAAATTGACAATCATTAAGTAGCTGAAATTTCGTCAAATAATCATATAGTTGGTCATATAAAATTCTTTCCATATCTTTGCTAACGGCTGGCAAAACAGAAATTGGTCGGTAGTTACCAGGCAAATTTTTTTGGCCATTTTTATAAAGAGGTGATACTCTTGCCATTTTCCATTCATCGGGAAAAGTGCGTAGTGTAATGCCTGATTAAAAATATAAGTTAATGAACTGGAGATAGCAGGTGCTGCTAGTTTTAAAATTTTACTTGAAATTTTGTCAATGCCAGTGGCTTTTGCACTAGAGAGGCCACGTAGGAGATAATAAACTTTGTTGGTGGTAATTGACTCAAATACAGTGAATTCTGATTTAGGTTTCTTAATATACTCTTGAAAATTGTAATTCGAAGTATCAATTTTGCTAGCTAAGTCAGGCCCAATATTTGAAAATAATTCGTTAAAGCCCTCTGCAATGTCTTCTGAATTTGTTAAATTATTTCCACTTATACTCAACTCATTTACTTTTGTTGGTTTGTTTTGTCTGCCTAGTAAGTTGTTTATTGTTTTCCAAGCCTCCTTTGGATTTTGTTTTTGACCAGCAATTCTCTTGGAGTAATAATCCTTTTTGGCTTTTTTCATTTCTATATTTACTTTATTTCTGGTTTGTTTATACACTAACCAATCTGCTTCAAGGTTTTTAATAATGGCTTTCTCTTAGGTCTATCTACAATAACAAGACGCTCTGTAGAGTGTTAACTCGCTGGGGCTAAACTAAATTTTGTCACCATATTTGCTCATAATTTGGCGTTTCCGCCTACAAGTAAAATTACTGTATACATGTAGTACGCTACATTCTTCTGTTGGCTGCCAGTTGGTCCGTACGCTAGGATTAAACTGCGCTTTAAAACGTTCAACATAAAAATACTCTGAAAATGAAGAGAGAAGTGAGACGAATCCGAAAAAGAAAAACCAACGATAACAAAGTTATCAAGGATCAATCGTGCTGCATTTTTTATAATTAGTTGAATAATTTTGAGCGATTTGTCAACAATTTCGCTTGGCTTTAAAGTTTAAAAGACAAAGGCCATAAATCGCTAGAATACTGTTGTTTAGTATTACATTTGGCATCCGTAAGTACAATTTGTTACGCTGAATCGAACCGTGGTATTTTTATCCTTATTGCGCCATTAGCAATTACAAATACAACTTGTATTTGTACAAGGACAAACGTACTGTACTGCGAGTGATTTGTCTGTCAGCACTCAGCAATAACTACTGCGAGCGATTTGTCAACAATACAATTTTGCTTGATTTTCAAAGGCCATCAATCGCTAGAATACTGTTGTTTAGTAATACATTTGATATCCGTAAGTACAACTGATTTCTTACGCTGAATCGAACGGTGATATTTCTTATCCTTATTGCGCCATTACATTACGAATTACAAATACAGGGACAAACGAACTGCACTGCGAGTGATTTGTCTGTCAGCACTCGTACAATTTCGCTTGATTGTCAAAGGCCATAAATCGCTAGAATACTGTTGTTTAGTAATACATTTGACATTCGTAATAGGCCGTGGGCTGTTGGCCAACATTATTTCGCTTCGTGGCACCCATGTGGGAAATACTTGGTTTGGGGTTTATTTGAAAGATATATAGGTACATCACCACCAAAAAAAAGTTCCCAAGCAAAAAGTTGCCCAATACCGAGAAAATGGGTGATCAATGATTATCCTCTATTAAATTGTATTACAGCAAAAAATGGGAAATTTTATAATTCAATTACAATAAAAATGACTTCCATCATCGAAAAACGTACAAAAAACTGCACCTAAGACTTTTAAACAGTATTTTGATTTTTCAAATAGTCTTTGAGTTATTGCTGTTTTAAATGTGAAAATTGGACCAAAATGTCGCAATAAGGACTGGGTACTAGGTCAAAAACGCGTTTTTGACAGCGTATAACTGGAAAACAATTTTAGATATAAAAAACTGTTTAAATGTCTTATATGTAGGTTTTTGTAAGCTTTCTGATTTGAATTGAACCACAGAAAATCTATTTCTCAGTGGGGTGCCACGAAATTGCTTTTCTAGGCACTTTTTCGCACAACAGCCCACGGCCTATAAATACAATTTCTTACGCTGAATCGAACGATGATATTTTTATCCTTATTGCGCCATTATAGGCATTACAATGTCATATTTCACACTACAGTACAGTTAAAACTACGTTGTGTAGTTAAGTTATAACCTTTTACCTTCAAATTGAATTACCTTCAGATTCAGTATATTAATATTATGATCGTGCGCGCAGTAGCACGGGAATTCAAAGATTCAAATTTCGGATTTTCAGAGTCGTGCACCAAGAAAAATGCATTAACTAAATTAGCAAAAATGCCCAGATTTAGACACCATGCAAAATCGATAGAAAACATATACATGCAATTTGTTGAAAATTTTAACGAAATTGTTTGAAACATTTTGCCCACTTCACGGAAAGCCGCCATCTTGAAAAGGATCATTGAGTTTATTAGGCAGCTCATTATTAGGCAGGCAAGAACAGAGCCGAAACCTATACTCGCCTGGGCACATTACCCCAGCGAATAATTATATTAAATTAAGCATAGTTTTTCATCCCATGATAATTTTTTTAGGAAATAAGAACATTTAATTTTTGCCAGGCATATTAGTTATTTTATGCATAATTTGCAATTTACCTGGGGTGGTGCATGGTCATTTTCCTGTAAAATATTATACTTAGACACATTTTTCCTTCCATTAACCACCCCTAAAAGCAACACTTCTAAACGCTATAAGCACTTCAGAAAGGCTGTCCCTTTTCGTTTTCGGAAGTTGGAGCTATGTCGGCACTGCCGTTTCAGGGCGGGGTCATTTTCAGGACTTTCGCCCCGGATTCAGGTTTTGGTACATATGCCATGTTGACCGCCGTGGACATTTTACCCTAAAACAGTTGAGATTACTTGTGCTAAATGAAACGCATACAAACATCTATACAGGTCCTAGACTACATCGGTCTCTTGACATTCTGTCGAGTGTCGACTACACAGAGTCTAAAAAAAAACGCTATGGAAATTCAACAGGCTGTCGTGCATCATAAACTTAGCTAAACAATTCGATTTTTACATAGGACGAAATTAAATCGTAAGACTCGTAACGACGAGAAATGGCCACATACTCATCAAAAAGAAATTGCCGGTCGAAATCACATTCTTCCACCGTTGGGAATTGAAAATAGATTCATTATGCAAAGTTAGTCTATCCAAAAGCAACGTGAGCCGGTTGCAAGCTATTTGTTTCGTAAAACGTTTTCATTACGAATGTTCTCCGTTCAGCTAGGGGTTAATTAACCATGTTTAATGGACTTTCTTATTGAGTTATTGTCCAGCTAAAACGAAGATTGGTGAGTTGAGCTCATTTTGGATAATCTAACATTCAATTTTAAATCCCTCTTAGGAATTGTTTATGTTTCGTTTTCCATGCAATTCCCAACGGTGGAAGAATGTGATTTCGACCGGCAATTTTTATTTGACGAATATGTGGCCATTTCTCATCGTTACGATTTAAAAAGTGTATCATTGAAAAGCTGAATAACTGTTTTTCGTTGTATATAAAAATTTAATTGTTTAGCCACGTTTATGATGCACGACACCCTGTTGAATTTCCATAGCATTTTTTTTAGACACCTTGTATATATATATTTCGGCAAAGGAGACTGGCGCGAGTTTATGGATGTCAAGAATAGTGTGCGGCCTCGCTGCCGCTAAGCAGCAAAAAGGTGCTTTAAAGTAGTTTTACTAACAAAGAAATAAATTTTACAATTGCCGAAATTTTGCAAATGTTTCGGAATTTTCAAACTCTCTGTCACTCAATGAGTTACTAATACAATATTGATTATATGATTATGGCGTTTTGGATTGTTTCCTTTAGAAACCTTTCGGATCAATCCATTATTCGAGCTCGAACGTAAAGACATTTATCATTCAGTCGAAAGGGAGAGAGCATTTTCCTCTTCGAGTGCAAAGAATTACGCCAGACCAGGTAAGAAACTTTCGCTAAGATTGTTTATAAATTCATGACAAGGATATTTAAACCGCTCAGTTTGGCAAGAGTTTCCAATATTTTGGTTGTTAGAATTTGTACCAGATATTAATTTTTTGCTATGGTACTAAATTAACAATTAACTTCGTTGAGGAAATGGTATGTGTAGACGATACAGGTCAACAAATGAATCAGTAGTTTTATCATTCAGCCGAACGAATCCCGGCATAGTAAAAGTATGTTCACGACAGGGCCGGGTTTCTAAATCTTCCAATTTGGCAGAAGTTTCCAGTCCTTTGGTTTGTTAAATGGGTATCAGACACTGGTAGTTGTTTCTTATGGTAAGGTATTAAATTTAATAAATAATATTAAGCATAATGCTGCTTTGATTTCTTCCTTTAGATAGTTCTCAGGATAAATCACCATTTGATTGTTCAGAAAAAACAACCAGGGAATTGTCTTCTTCCTGTGGAAATGTTTCCTTCATGCCAGGTAAGAAACTTTCAATAAGATTAGATAGGTTGTAAATTCACGATAGAAGTTTTCAAACATTGCAGCTTTAATAGGAATTTTAAAATTTTTGGTTTGCCAGATGTATATTAGACACTTCTAATTATCTGTTATAGTGACGTACTAAATGAACAATTAGCTTCCTTTACTAAGAAGTCCCCACGGCATTGTCTTCTTCAAATAAAAGTTTGTTAATAGAAAATTAACTGAGTAGAAAACTTAGCTTGCCATATTCGTCCCAAAATAAAGAATTGTATCATCCAAGAGTCGGACTCAAGGGACATGTGTCATCTGGAGATATTGGCCCCATCACATTAACTTAAAGGCACTGTTAAGTCGGTTCTGCGTATCAGTTCTGCTCCAGGGCCTTTTTTAACATACAAGCTGGGGGGGGGGGGAGGGAAATGCCCCCTAGTTACCCCTTGT